CATCTATATCCAAAGCTAATATGTTTTCCTGGATTCCCAATCCCATCTTTGTTTTGGTAAACCTTTGATTCAAGGTGGAATTTAAATGCATGTCTATGCATCTTGGATAAGGATAATTTCCTTAGCTGGGGGCCTATTCTGTAATAAAATTCCCCAGCTTCTGCCTCTTGTGTACTGTTGTGACTGGGAAGACTGGAAGGCAAAGAGGAGCTTGCTTATTTTTTTTGTTCTGGCCCTTATGCTATTAGGTCTGTATGGGATAGGCTCATATGGACTTTAGATAATGCTTCAAAAATGCTGCTGCTGTACACAAAATGACATTAGATAATTTGTGTACGCTGAAATAACAGACCTCTGACAACAGAATTGCCATTATTAGCATAGCAGTGTATTTCCTTGTAAAAGCAACAGATCACATGTGCTTTTTTTTTCCTGTGAAATGTTTTATTTTTAGGTCTTAACATATGCAGGTTTTTGTAATGCCTTTTCAAAAATTTTGTATCAATGCCTCAGCAAATATTTTTGAAAATCTCATTCTGCAATATTGCCAACTTTAGTGTTGGTGTTTTTTCTATGTGGTTTTCTCCATCTCTTCTGTTTCTAAGATTTTTTCACAATTTTTTTTTTTTTAACATGCCAGTTTTATTTTTAATTAATGCTAAAACTACCACTTAAGCTGACGAAGATGTTTTCTAGGATAGATCAGCAACCAAGCTAAATTATTCCTGCTTCATTTCTACCATAGGAAAATGTTTATTTATTTATGTTGAAATGCATATTATTTTAATGCTGATTGTCTTCTCTTGCTTAAATAATTTTTAATCATATTTTGCAAGTATTTTAATCTAGATTTTTGTGTGTTTTAAAGGCAGGCCTTTATCAAAATGATGCAGTTCTGTGCTGGTAGTGTTAATGCAGACAAACATGATTCCACCTAGGAGGTGATACTTTTTGGCCTGAGTTTTTAAGATTGTGTATAATGGTTACTTTGTAGCTTAGTTTTTAATAGCATTGGTTGTGTTATTGAACCTGCAAGAGTGTTGTGGTTTTTATGATATTTTCAGTGCTGTGAATCATAATAGTAAAGCATAACATGACTTCATTTATGGATTTTTCTACTGATAAAATATTCTCAGACATATCCTGCCATATTACTTAGGATAGGCTTTAAAAATGTCTCTGCATTTCAGATCAGTGGTCTGTTTGCAAGCTATGGACTCAGTCCCCGGGAGCTGTGCAGGCAGGTGACCTTGTGGTGTTTTCCTTCCAGACAGGTTTGATTTTGGGAATCTAGGCACTTGTGACAGACCTTGAGAGGTCTGTCACAAGTCTTGAGGGGTGGGAATGCCAGCAGCTCCCCAGCTGTTTCCAGCCTTTTTGTCCTTAAAGTAAGGACTGAGCAGGAAGACAAAAAGACCTGTTTAAGAATTGTTCTTTTCCTCCTTTGAAAGTCAATACAACTTGAGCAGCCTGGGTGTGCCCATCACTGGGGTGATGGGTGGGAGAAGAGCAGCTGGCTGACCATCAGCAACCCTGGAGCTGGATGCCACAGGACACTGTGTAACCCTGGGGAGAAACAGGATCCTCCCAAGGTGCAGGCACAGCAGCCCAGGCCGGGTCGGAGGAGCTCTTGGCCAACTGCCCAGTCCCAGTAGCCCAGGGCTGATGGTGAGGGAGAAGTGAAAGAGCTGAGCAAGCATGTATGAGGCTTCTCCCAAGCCCTTTTCCAGACTCCAACACTCTGAGTGAGATGCAGTGTCTGTGTGTTTGGCAGCCCCCAGTTGCATCCACAAACTTGCCCATTCCCAGCTTGGACCAGTACAAACCTCTAGCATTCCTGCTTTCCTGCAATACGTTGAACATTGTAATCAGCGGCTATGCCAGAAAAGGTTCTTTTTAATTAGTTTTGAGCTTACTGACCTCTTTTGTTAACTTCTAATTCTTGTGTTGTACAAGGCAGAGAATGATCAATGTCTTTGTTTTCTCATGCCAGACACAATTTCCAGATTTTTGAGAACATAGCATATGATCTTCCAGAACATTAAAACATTAACAGCAGCGTCTTTTAAAAAGCAGTAATTTTGTTAGACCCACAGGAGAAGAACCTGTGTTTCTCCTTGTCATCCCTCCAAATACAACTGTGAAGTCTCCCTGAGTAAAGCTATTCTGTTTGATCTCAATCTTTGTCCTATATATTTACTTTACTATCTTACACTTTATAATCTCTTGCCTCTTTCTTGGCACGAAAGCCTTTGTGTCCATCTGATAAGGAAGAGGACATTAGTTTAACTGAGTCCCCCTGAAATAATGAAGAGTAGAAGTAGGGCCCTAAGCTATAAAGGAATCTTTATTAAAGTTATGGAAGCATAAACTTTTGCTGAAAGAATGTAGTGAATGCTGGGAAACTATATAATAACTAACTTCAGCAAGCTAAACTAAATACATTTTAAGAGAACATCTGTCTAAATTACTAAATCTGGAGAATGCATACAAGACCTTATGGAAGTCTTTGAGCTTCCCCCAGGGCATGAGAATCCTAAATATTTAATATTCACTTCTAAGAAGAATCAGACTGTTGTAATCAGTAACTCAACAGCATCTCTTTTAGCTGCTCCTCAATGATGGGTCATCTGCAGGCAGCTGTGCCGAGCATCAATATACTTATTGACCAGAATTAAAGGGGTTCCTGCTGGTTCTGCAGTGGCCAAGGGAGTCAGTCACTCTTTCTTCCACCCTTGTTGAGAGCTGCTCATTCCCCCCTTTGCATCTGGAGCTGATTGTACCTCCTGTCAAGGGATTTCAGCTCCCTAATGCAGCAAAACCAAGGTTTTGTTGAGCCCTCCCGAGTGTCCCCTGAGGAGTGGCAGTGCTGACACCGAGAGTATTTTGATGAGTTGTCTCTGACACTGAGAGTGTTTTGATGAGGGTTTTTGCTGACACAAGGTGGGTTCAGTGCTTGCTCCTGGGGGGACATTGAGACTTCTGCTTGCAGCAACGACCAGCTGTGAACCTACTGAGTCACAGGAAATCCCACCTCCATGGACAATTGTCCCAGGGATGCTCCCATTCCGAAATTTGTTAGCATCTCTTGTTTTGTTGCCTCTGTCCCTTACACTTAGATACAAAGTATTTTTTTTAACATCCAATTTTCATTGACTCATTCACAGTCCTTATAACTTTGAGATTCTGCCAGTATCTTCTATAGCCTCATTAGTTTTTCCTGTACCTATAAAGTGTGGTGCATTCACATTCCCTCACAACTCAATTTTTGCTAGACTTCAGGAGCCTCTCTGTGTTTGCAGGTAATGGAACTTTGCAAGCAAAGCTGTCCAGTGCCTGTCTGCAGTATTTGAAAAGAGGTCTCCTTTGGGCAGTGTTATTAATCATACCTCAGTTTGACTGGAAATACATCTTCTTTGATGTATTCTGGGATGACAGTTGTGTTTTCCAGGAAGACATTCTATTGATCTGCCAAATCATTTTGCCAGAAACTGGTGTGGTCATGTCTCCCTTCCATATAAACCAGGACCTAAAAAAAAAAAAAAACCCAAGAAAAAAAACCCCAAAAGAACTAATAGAAATACCCTCCAGCCCTTAAGTGCATAATTTTTTTGTTTGTACAATTGAATTTGATCCTATTTCTAATAATCAATCCAGAAGATCATCCACGTTTTTCCTGTGGGATTTTTTCAATTTTTTATTTTCCGTGCTTTCCAATTTAATGTTATCAGCATATTTCATTGGAATGCTCCTGCATTTTGTGCCTGGGTAATTAATGCAAATACCAAGCTGGCAGTTTGTCCTGCCTGGGGCTCACTCAGGGCAGTCACCAATGTCTCTGAGCAAAAATGTCCATGATTCTGCTACCTGTTTGGCCAGGGTGAAGCTCTGGAAAGCTGAGCAGCCACTGCCCTGGTTCCTGCTCTGCTGTTCCTACCCTCCTCATCAGGTCAATTCGTGTCTAAGCTCAGGTGTTATGCTGTTCGAAGGAGAAAGACTAAATTTTTGTTTCTTCTGCTGAGCAGGTGTGTGTTCACTTCCTCCTGCTCCAGCGGCCAACTTGCCTCTTGTCAGGTTTTCTCTACCAATTAATCATCTTTTCCACCTTAATCGTCAGTGAGGTGGAACAACAGCAAGATTTTATACTGATTTAATCTCAGTAATATTTTGTAGTCTTTGAACATGCTTAGTGAAATTTATATAGATAATGGGGTCTCTTCCAATCTTACCAATTCTGTGATTCTGTGGTTTGCCTTACTAGCAAATAACTATGAGGAACATGATTTGACTGGTTTAGCATTAGTAAATACAATCTCCATTTAATTTATATATGTTTGCCTCAGGTCTGATTGTTTTTTCTCCTTGTTGTTTGTTCCAAGTCCTTGCGTACTTGGAGGCTGGGATTGCTATTGCCCAGAGCCTTTCCTGTGGCATTGCCAAAGCTGCAGGGCTCCCAGGGATGTGTACACATGTGCTGTGAGCCTGCCTGGGCTGCAGCTCCTGGCGCCCACGGCTTTGCCTGCCCAAGCAGTGTGGACCCGAGCTCATTGGTCTCACAAGGTCACGACATTGTTGTGCCATTATGTCCTTTGAAGCATGCCAACACAGCTGCTGTTTCCCCTCAGATTCCAACTGGTTTCCCATCCTTATGCTTTTTGGCTTTTTCTGAAGTTCACCTAACCTCTATGCTGTTCGCTTTCAGCTGCAAACAGAAAAGTCTCTTGAATGACAGTCAGTGTCAGTGGTTGGTTTTGGACCTTCCATGAAGAAACTCCCCTCAGTCTTCCTTGTCCCATCTTCAGCTGTTAAAAGTCTGTGTATCCCATGCACTGTGTAACTCCATTGGAAATGGTTGTTTCAGTGATTTTTATGAACATTTTAGGAAAAGTGTCCTGCAGATTTTTCCCTTTTCAAATGTAATTGTTTAATTGGTGCTTGCTGAGAGGGAGCACAAGAACATGTCCACGAGGCTAATGGTTCTTTTTTTCTTCTTCTTGCAGTGACTTGCTGTCTTCTGAATATCTTGAGAGGCATATCGAGCAAGGTGGGAAGACAGTGGAAGTTAAAGTAAGAATTTGCTTTTTATGCTTTTCTTTTTTAATTTGCTTGGCTTTTGATGTTCATGAAAACTCACATATTTTTGTGAAGAGGGATAACTGATTTTTCAAGTGATTTATTTTACTATTCTGAGGCAAGCATGTTTCATGTTTTCTAACTTTCAGCTTTAAGCAGGGCAAATACACTCCATTGCCAAATTTAGTTCATTAATGTCTATATCAAAAATGGTATCTGTGAAAAATGTATTCATAGTAGTTCTTTTTGCTAATAAATGTACTTTACTTTTGATACTTATTGAAGAAAATATTTTTGTTTTAGTAGATAGCATTTTCTGATGGTACTAAACCCCAAGTTTTTTGGTTTGTTATGAGCTTCTTTGTAAATTTGAGAATAGCAATATTTATTATATAATATTTCCAAATACCTGGTCACCAGTTATGTGTTTCTTTCTCTGTATGTTTGTGTTGTCTTGTGTGAAATGTCCCACAGCCTTTGCAGAAATGTTTTGTTGTTTGCATGGGAGATTTTTCTTGAGGACCCTCTATTTGTTAGGACTTATTTTGTAGATATCAGCTATAATTTTTGTATCAATTGCTGTAGATTACATAGAGTGTTCAGAAATGTATTATATGTGGTATAAGATGGAAACTCTAAATTTGCCTAGCAAGTAAATACTAAGTAAAATTTTGTTCAAACTTTACATTTTATTAAAAGAAATCCTCCAAATTGTTTTACTAAATCTGAGATCATCTAAATACTTCAAAACAAATGCGTTAATCTCTGCAGTGTGAAAGTGGAAATGGAAATGGGAAAAGCAGTCCTTTATCCACTGGATAGCTGAAGATGCAAGTTTCCTTTGTTTTATTCCCTTCTGTCATTTACAAATAGGAAGTCTGCTCTTCCATTATTATCAAGATAATAGTCTGCATGCATTATCAGACTGAGGCAAACACATACGTGTTCCATTAAATTGTAAAGACTAATTTCTCAGTCAGCTCTGCTCTGAGAAGTCTTGCTTGACTGAGGTTCAGAATATGAGTCAAAGCAGAAATAAAGATAATAGTTGATATTAATAAGAACAAAACAACCCATTTGTCTGCATTAAGATATATATGCAAGTTAGCTAAGTTAATCCATCCAAGCCTTGTCACTGAATTGTTCCTGATGAGCAAGCCTTAATCAAGCAAGGAAATGTTTGAAATCAGCAGCTTTTCATATCTAAGTACTGTTTAATTGAATGGGAAAGTGATGGGAGGATCAGGCCTTTTAGAGGAAGGGTCAGAAAATGTTCTGGGCAAAACAGCCCCCAGCCTCAAGGGTCACAGAGATTATTTCCCCATCATTTAGGTGCTGAGCCAGGGTCAGGGTATTCCTTCAGGGATGGCTATCACTGCCTTGCTCAGTATTCTCAAATCTGCTTTAAGTAGAGAACTATCATTGCTGCATTGAGCTTGATGCTTGAGGTGAGCTGAATTGGGAGTGAAAGGGGCAGCAAGGACTGTACTGCAAAGGCGAGGGCTTGCTGCTGGAGTGGTGACTTTCCCTCCCCGTGCTGCCCTGTACCTTGCATACCCACGGGCAGGGGTGCAGGGGTGGCCAGGCTGTACAGGTGGGCTCCTCTGCCCCTACCAGGCTGCTGCTCCAGGAGTTCTGCAGGCAGCAGTTGTATGGAAGCATGCTAGGAAAGGGGATGTAAGGTTTTTGCTTGCTTTGTTGCATGTGAGTGTGTGGGATTGGCAGGGAGGGAAGCAGCTGCTGTGACAAAATGTCAGAAGAGCCTGGTGGCCACAGTCATGGGAACATTTTCATGAAAGTTCAGATACCAAAAGATTTTTGGAAAAGTGCAGGCTATTGAGTACACTTAAATACCAGATAATGAATGAGGCTGATTTCAATATTCAATAGCTGTTTAAAAATAAATCTGGTTTCCTCTGACCAGTCAATATTTTCCAGAGTACCTGTAAGTTCATTTGAGAGCTTTGTTCGTCTGTTGAACAATTTCTGAAAAGACTGACAGTATCTGTTTGCATTTGAGAAACTATGCTTTGGTTTTACATCAAATGTTTTGAAAATCTTATTGCAACTACAAGAAATTTCCATTATGACGATTTATTACCTTCCATTACCGTGGGAATTGTTTACCATAACTGGCAACATAATTAATATACTATATTTTAGGGATTGTGCAGATTGCTTAGATACTTATTTAAAAATAGCTAGTAAAAGCGTGCAACTTATGAATAAATCACATAGCAGAAGAGGTATTTCAGAAAGGAGACAGGTTTCTATCAGTTGCTTCAACATGCTGCTCTTCACCCACCTCTGTGCAATTTATCTTGGGCTGTAGGCAGAGACAGAGGCGGCCTGGCAACATCTCTCATGCTGCTTTGGTGGGAGAAACGGTGACAGAAAGAAAATGTCCATCTGCCATGCAGTGCCAGCTGCAGGCTTTGAGCAAGCCTGTTTATACAGTGAAATGGCCTCCTCTGTTCTTGGCCTTCTTACTGGAGAGGTGTGTTTTAAAATATGTGCAGATTTCCCCTTGCATTTCTCTGTGCAAGGAGACTGCACAGACACTCAAATCATGGGTGCTGCTGCTGTGCCACCAGCAATAAGGGAGAAGGCAGGAGCTCTGAGCCACTGTGAAGGCAGCTGTACCTACATGCAGCAGTTTGGGAATGTGTCTGGAAAGCAGATCTTGCCTCGGCTCATAAGCAATGTGGAGTTATCAACTTTTTCCACTCCTCCTCCTCTCCTTGTCTCCCAGTAAAACTTCCTGTGCTGTAAAGTATATATGGATCTTCTGCCATTCCTGAGGATGCTTCAAAGAGGAGAGGAGGGCAGAGGAGAAAATAAAAATACACTTTTTAGTAGCAAAGGGATTTTTACTGTGAGAAGAATCCTCTGTTTAACATACTTTTTTATCATAAGAGAAGTTACATTACATTTAATTTCTGCATAATAATTAATACATTAGACCATTGTGAAGGTGAAACATATTACACATGTTTTTGCAGGGTGCCAGCATTTAGCTGCTGCAGAGGAGAGGCTTCTTGTTAATTTGGCACAGTTAGGCAGCACCTAAGACATTCTTATTAAACCAGCAGCAGAGTGCAATGCCTAAGAAAAACAAAAGGAGGTAGATGTTTGAATTATTTCAGTGTTTCCCCCCACACCCTCCTTTACTGTACATCATGTCTCTACTGGGAAAGCAGCAGTGTTGGCCTAAATTCCCTCTGGTAGCAAAGAGAATAATCAATTAATAAGAAAGAGAAAAACCCTTCTTGGCATTGCCTCTTCCTGATTGTGTCATTCCAGACCATCCTGTGCTCATAGCACATCAATACTCAACCTGTGTATACCCAATGTTGTTGCAATATATCTCTGTGTCCTTTTATCTCTCTTTCTCCCATTTTTTTTGGTTGTCATTCTGTCACTGATGCTGTCAGTGAGATGAAAGGCAAAAAACAGCTATAGTGCTGAGTAATTCACATTGCTGGATTTTCCACCCTCAAAAGGAACAACTGATATCTATTCAGTGATATTTTCTCAATAAAATGTTTCATTTTTCCTCTTCAGAGTGTGTAGAAATAAATGTTTCTGCTTGTATTCCCCCAGAACAATGGACACTTCTACAAGTTCTTAGGAAATTGCTTTCTGAAAAAATTGAGCCATGAAAATAATCCAGTCAGAAAACTTGCACTGGTAGATAAATACCAGAAAAGTTTGATGACATTTTTAAATATGACTAGAAGGAACTATATTTCATAGACAGTCCTTAACATCTTAAATTCTTTAGTGTGGTGGTGTAAACACAGCATGTGTATTATGGGCACGAAATTACAGTGAGAGTGCTTACAGCATAAACCACTGATTTTTGCTTCAGCCTAGCAGCATGTTCATATGATAACATCAAACAACATGAATGGAGACATATCAAATGCTAGGTACTGTTTTTCTCTGCTGCAGCATTACCAGAGGAGCTTTGGCCAGGCTTGTCCCGTGGGTTAGGACTGCAGAGTGGCTGTGCTGAGCCCTGCAGACTCAGGACTGAGCTCAGACTGTGCCCCTGGGCTTTCTTCAAAGCACCCCCAGCCATCCTGTCCAGCTGGAGAGCCCCAGCACAGCCTCCTGCTCTGTGGGACCCCAGCAGAGGGACCATCACTGGAGTTTGGCCAATGGGGGGTATGGGACATTTGGGGCAAATGCATTTTAATGCTGCACAGCAAAGCAGAGCTGTTAGCTTGCAAAAATAGTCATTATGTTTTGTGCATTGTTTGACTAGTAGTGTGTGCAAGATGACTTACTGTAGCTTACAGCTATTTTAATGGTTCTGCACAAGAGGGGAAAATTACTGTTCTTGTGTGCTTAAAACCTTGGCTAGTGTGTGCCATGATGTGCATTTGAAGAGCTCTTTAAATGTCCCTTTTAAGGGAAAATTATATATAAGGGAGAAAAATGTTAAATCTTGAAAGACCAGAGGAGCCCGGGTACCTTTGATATAGTAGATACTGCTTTTTTTGTGAAAATTTGTCCTTCAAATCTGGTCTGCTCGAGCAGTTGTTAAGGTACAGTCCCTTCACCGAGGGCAGTGAGTGTCTGTGTGCCTGTGTTTGATAAGACCTTATCCCAAGTAGCATTTCAACATTTCATTGTTATCTCCACAGGTACAAACTGATTATAAGTCTACAATAATTTGTAGTGCAGACAGATTAAAAGCTTAACCAGTGAGCAGGTAATTTTAATAATTAACTACTATGTTTCCAGTCTTATAGCAAGGTGCTTCTAACTATCGTCTCCCAGTTAGGGCACTCCCTGTCTGAGAAGAATCTCTTATTATTCTTCAGCTTTTGGTAACTCACCATTTTGTAGCCAAAGAGGAAGGTGTTTCAGTTGCCAGGGAAGGCTGTATGCTAAACAGGCTTTTCTGAAAGGGTTTACATTTTCTCCTGAAAAGCAGAGTGCCAGTTGGGCTGGCAGAGGGTGGGGTGGGAGTGCAGGAAGACTCA